GGGATTTTTCCCATCACGATGGATGGAACAGGGTTTTTCCTGTCACAATGGATGGAACAGAGTTTTCCCAGTGGTGGTGACACTCTGAGCACAAAAGGAGCACCCCAGGTTGGGTTTTGGGAGATGGGAGGGTTTGTTTTTCCCCCCTGGCTGGAGATMAAGGCAGCACTGGAGTCAAACCCATCTCCCGAATCAAGGAGCACAAATATTTTGCCTTTGTGCTTAGAGACACTTTGATTATTGAGAAATCATTCTGGAAGGGCAATTAGTAAATTTTAAAATCAATTTGGCAAATAAGCCTCTGAAAGGAATCCATGACAAGCAGCAGGGAGGGAAGAATTGACTTTCAAATTACACACACACACACTTTATTCATATCTAAATATCAAAGAGACTCTATGTACAAACAGAAGTAATCAGGAAACGTGTTTTGATCTTGCTGATGTACACAGAAAATGACAATTAATGTCCCCCTTTATGATAGAAAGCTGGGAGTTTTTTACAGTTAYATTACAGGGACCATTATAGTCAAGCTTTGGGCTAAAAATAATGAAAGACTATAAAAACTACATTTTAACATTTAAAAATATCCAGGAAATTAACTGGAGAAGCAGGCAATGATCCCATTAATGGATTGCATTTATTAGATCGGGGGCRAACGGCACAGCACAAAGCTCCAGCCCCAAAGGTGGGAGAGGRCAGAGTTCCCAGTGGTGCCAGGATGGGGTTGGGACAGGAGGACAAAGCATCAGCTCCATCCTAAATCCACTGGAGATGGATCCCAGCGGAGAAAAATGGGGCTAAAACTCACCCTGGAGGGAAATGGGATCAGTGGGAACAGCAGAGATATCCACAGTGGGGTTCACTGCCCTCCCAAGCAGCAAAGTCCGAGCTGCACCCCGAGCCAGGCACTCAAATCCTAAAATTCAAGCTCAGGCAGCTCCCAAAAAGCCATGTGTGATGCTCCAGTGCCAGAGGAAGGCACTGCATGGACACAGGACTGGGGAATCTCAGGGGAGGGAGCGGTGCTGGCTGCTGGAGCGATGGGCAAGCAGCAACTTCTCTCAGAGGTGCCAAAGCTTTTTGGGAGCTTTCCAGCAGCAAAGGAGTTTTTGCAGGATTTCTGAGCTCCTGCAGGGTTCCTGAGCTGCCCCTGGTCAGGGTCAGCCTGACGGTGCCCAGCACTCCCTGGCAYACCTCACTGCCCCACTGCCAAAACCAAACTCAAAAAAAATGAATGAAAAGGGAGAAACAGCAGCTCCTGCGAGGTGGGAAATAAATACCTTCAGTTGTAGGTCRGGGATGAGGAAATGGCTTTATCCTGAGCCCTGCTGCTCCAGAGTAAGGATTCAGTTGGCCAAGTGCAGAATCTTTGGATGTTTCCTCGAGAAAAGGAGCAAATCTGAGCCACGGGCACCCTCTGCTGGGGCTGAGCAGCTCCACGGGGCTCCCTCTGGGCTTTTTTCCTTTCAGTGGAAAAAAGACAAATTCAGCCCCCAGATCCTGCAGCTCAGGGCTCTTCAGCTCCCTGTGGATTGGGGTAACACAATCTGTCTGCAGGATAGCGCTCCAGAGGGATTTGGGATTTGTCCCTTTTCCCCAGGACAYGGCTCAGGGGACGTGTCCCCACCAYAGAAGGGAGTCCTGGACACCTTTCAGGAGCTCTGTGTCCTGTCCCCATCCCAAACACCCCGAATGTCCCCACTGTCACCAGCCAGACCCTCCCGGGGACACACAGACAACACCCCCAMACCCACAGACCAAGCTTTACAGACTTCATTTAGCTCAAAGGAAAGTCCTAATTAGTCACTGGAAGTGATTTACTTATTCATTTGGAAGGGGGGAGGGGGCAGACTGAGCGGAATTGTTTGAAATTATCCCTAAAGGGCACTGTAAATTAAGTGTTAATGAGGAATCCTATGCGAAGGGCCACGGTRGCTAAATAAAATAATTAAGGTGCTAAGTGATAACATTCTTTTGGCTCTCAATAATCCTGCCAGCCTGGTTTTCCAGCCAGGACAGCTGGAAAAAGCCATCCCGATGCCATCAGCAGGACAGTGGAAAGGAAACCAACCCCGGATTCCTGTGCCCACCTGGAGGATTAAATCACACTCTGGATTTACAGGACACACAAATGGATTGATCTGAATCTACAGCCAATCTGTATAAAAGTTTTATTTTCACAGGCTGTATTTCCCCCTTGGCAGGGCTGCAAGCCTGGGTTACACCAAACACAGAAGAACCAACTCCAGGGGTGCCCAAGCACAGCTGGCACTTGGTGCCAGTGTCACTCACAGCCCAAATTGTCCCCACAGAGCAGTAAGCACAGAGCTGCAGCCATCCCCGAGTGTTTTCCTGCCAAAAATGGGGCTGCTCCAGACCAGCCTTGTCCCAGCTGCTCCTCTCAGGTGTTACCTACAGCACCAGGGCTCTGCTTTTGGTTTTCAGGTGGAGATCTGGCAGCTCCTGCAGCAGCCAAAGTGCAGCTCAGGTCACTGGGGCTCTCCCTGGAGCTCACAGYGATGGTGGAGACCCCAAAAAGAGCATTTCCATGTCCACAGAGAGCAGCTTCCTCCACCAAATCAAGGCCATTTCAGTCTCCATGCCTGCGTTTCTGGCTGCAGATGGAGTGCAGGAGGATCCCTGTCGTAAAGCAAAAATAAATATTAAGGGATTTAATTTTTTTTTAAACAACAAGAAATCGTTAAGTGGGTGTGGATAAGTTTGAAAAGCCCTCACCTGTGGCCACGGAGACGTTGAGGGAGTCGATGCCRGGGTGCAGCTCCCTGCCAGGGGGGATGGTCAGCATGAGCTGGCACTGCTGCTGGGTCTGTGGGGACAGACCTTCCCCTTCACTGCC